TTTAGTGTACTATATCACTTGTATGTTTCATTCACATTTTGTTTCCTCTTTACAGCAGTTAGTCATATGCATCAAACAAACTGCATATCAGCCCTGCGCGATGAAGATGCCTTTTCTATGTCATCTGAGTTTTCAGAGTCAGCCTCTTGCAGCACTCTGCAATACACAGAAAAATTCCTTCATGCACATCTTACCTCTTTGGTGTGGGTATGGAAGGAGACTGACATGTCCAAGAGAAGTTTCCTCTGTTCCACCCTCCGGACAAAGTCCTGAATCCGTACTTCCAGATGCCGGGCTGCTTTATAGATCTCTTCAGGGTCACATTCCCCAGTCTGAGCCAACTGCTCTGCAGCCTCCAAAAGCTTGTCTGCATTGGTGTATGTATTCTACCAGCAAACAAAGCAAGAAACAGAGTATGAGTAATACAACTGTGGCAAGTAAACCCCTGAAACAGGCTGTTTATACTTCCAAAGGCATGAAAGCAAGTGATTACCAGAGTTTTAAAACAATAGTAATAATTCCTACTGGCACTGCTGCCATCTGTGAAAGGAGAATGTATAAAGCCACATAGACTAATCCGTGAGTACACATGAAATAATTTCTTATTTGAAACACACCATCCCAGCCCAATCCTGCCAGACACAGCAACAGAACTGTGCACTTGTTTATTTCCAAGTCCCCTGGAATTTCTCAGAGAGAATGTAATGAAGCAAGTGGGACTAACCACCTCAGAAGCCTACAGTGCCTCACGTGACACTCGGCTACAAGCTCGTTGCAAAGGCCTCCCAACGGCTCTCACGTTACAGCATGTAATCATGTTTGCCAGAGATGTCTCAGCTTCAAGAAACATGGGCCTTTCATTGGCTTTTGTGAGATAACTTGAGAATACTGTGTCTTTGAGTTCCTTCTACATTTTTTTCCTTTCGTCTACTGTTCTGCATCATATTTCTAAACGGAGTAAGTCTATTTGATCAGCTTGCAGCTGCCAATATGTAATGCTCAGATTGCTTTGGAGAAGTATCACTTCCAGTCTGTCCAAGGTATGTACCTGCCCTCCATTACATAAGAATTTGAACCCTTCACCATTCTGAGTAGATTTACCCCACAGCCACAGCCTTTGCAATATAAGATATATTATGCCTACTTTACAGAGAGGGAACTGAAGAACATGGAAGCTAAGTGATGTATCTAAGATGTGCCAGACTGTGGAGGAACAGAGGTGAATTCCATCAAACTTTTCTCAGTTTTCAGACGACCTGTCCATCCTTTGTCTCCCCCTTTCACGTTTCTGGAAAACGCCACTGAGCTAATACACCAGAGAGTCTCAATAAGAGCAGAAATGGAAAGGGAGTGCAGTCATCTTCTCCATAGCCATGGAGCTATGGTTTAGTCAGCTATGTTTAGCTAACTAGCCAGCCCTTGCTGTCATAGAAAAGCTTTCCTTACTCAAGCTGAGGCCAATAACTCTGTGGCATTTAACACTTGACAAAAATAAGGAGAGACAAAGATATCAGCTTAAGGGTATTTCCAGTACTGGGTGAGATCTTCAGAAATGCTCGGCGTTGGCCTAAGACTGCTCCCACTGGGAATTTTAACCTCCCCATCAAGAGAAGCAAAATTGTAGCACTTTCCTTTTCAAAATCCTACTGAGAATCCCCCTCAGTTTAAAAATGCATTAACTTTATACATACACACAAAATACGTTTGAACACTGTGGAAATATGTGTACTTCTGAGCATTCAAGGAACACTGTCAAACATAAAAGCCATGAATCAAGTCATGTTGTTCTTACTTAAATAATATCCTGCTGCAGTCAATAGTTGCTGCTGGAGAAAATACTCAATAGAAAGATGGAACACTGGCCTCCAAGTGTTTAATGGGGGAAAATATTTCCAGTCATAAAAAGCAGAAAGAAAACAGCTCATTCACTGTTCATTTTCCCAGTTTCTGAGGGCTGACTATAAATACACAGTATTTGCATTTCTCCTTTTGAACTGTGAAGAACATATTCTAGACAGTTTTGTTACCAATAGTAAATTTTTATTCCCTCACTTTCAGGCCACTGCTATAATGGTTAGGCTGTTAACAGTGGCAAAATATTGTGTTTTAATAATCATTTTTTGGAAACCTCTTTAGCTGAGAATTTGTAAAAAATGTTCCATTTAATATGATCTGAATTAGGGTCCAGTTTCACTTAACAGCATCCTTTCTGAATGATCCTCTTCCAATAGCATTTGGAGCAAATGCCAAAGCTAGCACTATTTTTCAAAGTCTACTCCACTCTAGGGTTTTTCACACATTACCACTGCAACAGCTCAAACGCCAGTCCAGATCCCTGGGAAGAAAGCTGTCCCTGCTTTTATTTATAATATTTAGTATACTTTTAAATGCATTCACTCTCTGCTTATGGCACAGATTCGAGACACAAACACCTTTACTGAGATACAGTATGAATACAGCTTTGCTGCATTTGTCCCTAGCACGCTTATGTTCATCTCTGCTGAAAACCATTACAAGTTTACCGACTCCAACATGTGATGTACCTAATTACATCTAGATGAGGTCCGTTCACCAATACGATAATCAGATATTTACCACGGATGGTATTTACACTGCATGGTGAAAAGAGTGTAGGCTGAGCCCTAGACTATGGAGCAAAGAAGAGTGCAGATTGGCCTCAACAGAGGCAGTAAAGGGTGTAGCGGTCCTGCAGCAAACCCTTTGTATTACACAAGGTTCTCCAAAGGCAAAGGGGATTTTCTCCAAGGAAGGTGGCTGGATGTGGAAGGAGGCACATGCAGCGTTCCCCCCGGGCTGTGCCAGACATTGTCAGCACACAGTGATGCTTGCCTGAAGCATTCATACCTAATCTTGGACACGTTTGCTTAAATGTGTCGTGCACAACAAGCCTGAACACAGCATATTTTAAGTATGGCGAATTTTTTGTTCACCTCTTTGTCTATCTTTGTCCACTGAGTTCCCAGGTAAGTGTTTGGGTTTTAAAAACAGGTGCAGTTTACGATAGGAAAAACACTAATGGCTTTATCCCTGTCATTCTAGAAGGAAGGCCTGGTGCTGAGAGATTTCCAGCTCACTGTTTCAGATTTAAGAAGTTTAGATACATTTCAGACAAGCAACCACATTTGGGAGTTAACCACACTTGCCTTGAACTTCAGAGTTTGATGTGTTCATGAAAGGATTGTCATCTACTGTCAGACAAGATACAAACACAGCTCAGGCCAAATAAGCTACAGGTCAGTTATTTAGTGAGGGCTTGCTCTACTTTTGTTCTGTTCATTTGCTTCAAGTGCACATAAATCATATCAGAAGTTGTTACGCATACCAAATATTATCACATACATCTATTTCTCTACACGTGCTGAACTAAAGCTATGTTGAACCTGAGAGCTTCATCCTGGTTGGTACTGTAATGCTGCTCTGCTTGCCTGCTTCATATATTTTCATCCTGAGCTCGCTCTCTTGCTAGTAAGCTCTTCACAGTACAGACCCTTATTTCATTTCTTTGAAGCACTTTGTACTTTCTTTGGTGTTAACATAACCCTGGATCAGGGAGGGTGGGAATCCAAGAGAGAATTAAGTCTCATGATGAAAAAAGGCATATAATGCCTCCTTGTCCTGCTATCCCCAGCCAGAAGAGGTTACCTCAGATTCCCAGCCCTTCTGAGATCTGGAAGGATCTACCAGGAGCACAGGATCTAGGTACATCTCCAAACTGGCATTAAAATTCAAAACTTTCATAGAATCGTTAAGGTTAGAAAAGACCTTTAAGATCATCGAGTCCAACCGTTAACCTAGCACTGCCAAGACCACCACTAAACCATGTCCTCGAACAC